AACTGGACGGAAATTTCCATTGAATATATAAATGTCAGTTTTACGCGCCAATTGTTTGACGTATTTATTTTGAACACTTTCAATTCTCTGTTGGTAAATCGAATATTGTGGACTCCAAACGACAGATGCAAAGTTCAAACAACTATATACTCAATGTGGGATTTAAAAATCATTTTGAAATCCATTATCACTCCCAAATCACGTACTTCATCAACTGTTTTGATTTCCTATTTGATATTGAAAATCAATGGGATTTCTATTTCTGGTGAAAGTTATTTTGTGACATTTATCGAGATTTAAGTATAGGCTACTATTGCCACAGATTTCTGCAAATGCTTCAAGATCATTTTGCAATCTCTCACAGTGCTGGATTTATTTGATGGTTCGACAAATCTTGAGGTCATCGGCATATAACAAAAAGTAGGAATGTTGAAATACTTCAACAATATTGTTAATATAAATTATAGAAAGTAATGGTCCCAAGTGACTCCCCTGTGGTACACTTGATGTAACCACAAAAGGTTCTGACTGGTAACCGTTAACATCCACAACTTGATGTGTATGACGATATCCACACCAGAAGATGCTAATCTATCCCGATCTCCACGAGTCTTTCAATGATCAAGTTGCGACTTATTTTATCGAAAGCCTTGCTGAAATCCGTATAGATCACATCCACTTGCATCTGATCATTCATACTCTCTAACACATAATTTGTAAACTCGATAAAATTAGTATCGATGATAGTATAGTATAGATCTATTTCATCTTTCTGATTCGATAAATAATAGGTCGCTATCCCTTTTTCCTTCTTTGAAATCACAGATAACGTCTATTTGAACTATTTCGGCATCGAAGACTGGTTGCTCTTCTTCAAGTTTTTATATGTAATTCCCCGTGTTTTATAATCCGTTCATTTTAAGATTGAAGGACAAGCCGGATCAATTATATATCTCGTTTATTCACTTCGCGTTTCATTACGGATGCTGATTGGAAATTCCTCTTGGTCTGATTATATTTCACTTTTGATAATTTCGCGTAGACTTTCACTAACGAAGTTACACATACTTGAAAGATCAAACTGAACTAATTACATTTTTTCTATTATCAATACTTTCACTAAAGGAGATGGTTTAAAATCGAGAATCCACACTGGAATGAATTGATGGTGATTTCCTTGTCGTTTTTATAGCGAGAATAATGACGCAATAATTTGAACACGTGCGTATCTACGTGACTGTCTTCGCGTGTCGCGAGATTCTGACCCCATTAATTATCGATGGCAAATTAGCGGTGACAAGTTTACGATTATTACAGATGCCGACCATTTTTATCTTGATCGTCGGTCAGAAAGCATCGGGGCTTTCGCCTAATTGAGCCCGGACGATGGCGCGAGTCATTTTACATTAATTAATTTAACTCTTCTCCGAGCCCACAGACGTTAATACACGCGGTCCGAATTTTGGCTCGTCACAATATTACTGGAGTTTTTTTCCCCTCTGTACCAAAACGTTATCTTAACACCTCGACACGTGATCATCTTCGAAAAGGAGATTAATCAGTTTAACCTTTCTTTCGAAGATGACCACTTGGTGATCGAAACAAGTTTCGAGATGTTAAAATAACTATTTGGTGTTGGGAAAAAAACTCCAGTAATATTCAGTATAACTTCAGCAATTTTGAATAGATTTCTAGATACTAGAACCAATATAAGCCTCCATGAATCTAGAACAAACTCAAAGTCACCAATGAATAGTTTGATCTTTCCCACTCCTCAACAAATCATTGTTGTTATAAAAGAGTCTTTTTGGAAAAACTCAATAGAATATTTTACTTATTGATTTATTATCACTTTCATTCTTACACTTACATTATGTATAATGAGTGCTTGTGCTGGTAACATTAAAATAAAAACACTACTACTACATCTTCTTACACTTAGGTACATCTATACCATGTTCTTTTTCATTCCTCATATTTAACTAATTGAAGACGTTATCAAAGAGACTTTTTGGAAAAACAATATCTACTACCTATACCTATATTTTATTCATTAATTTAGCATCACTTTCGTTCTTACACTTACATTATGAATAATAATTTCAATGAGTGCTTGTGGTAACATTAAAATAGAAACACTACTACTACATCTTCCCCAGCGATAATCCACCATCACTTCAAATACCATTACTTTTGAAGTTTGCGACGCTCCGCCCCAACAATAAATACGTAGCGAACGCATCGTCATATTTCTGAGAATTCAGAGAGTTTACGACATCGATTTCATTAAAACCCAAACAAACTAGAGATGCTATCCTCTTAGGATCAGTCAGACCTTGTTCGGGCTCCATCCACGGCTTAATATCGTCGCTCTCATAGCCCTTGTTCATCCATTTATCTTTTGCGACGGTGTCTAAGCCTGCCCTCCTGGTAGGATCTAGAACCAAAAGCTTCTTCAGGAGATTCACGCAGTCTGATGTCAAAAAAAATGGTACCTCGTACTCGCCACGAACCATTTGCTCCCTAAGTACTGGTAATATTGAACTGTCAAAGGGAAGAGCGTTCGATACAATCCTGTATAATACAACGCCCAATGACCACACATCTGCTTTTGGTCCATATTTTCTGCACAGAAGTACCTCAGGAGCTGCATATCGTAAAGTTCCACAAAATGCTTTCAATTTGGTTTTTGAGGTGAATTGTTGTGAATATCCGAAATCTGCAATTTTAATGTTCATTTCACTATCCAGCAATATGTTTCCATCCTTTAAATCCCTATGCACGATCTTCTTTTGGTGAAGGTACCGTACCGCAGAGACAATTTGCCTAAACTTCGCTCTCGCATCATTTTCATTCATTCTACCTTGACGGGCCAGATAGTCATACATGCTGCCACCTGATGCGTATTCCATGACCAGGTAAAAATTTGTTGTCGTTTCGATTACTTGAAACAATTTCACTATGTTTGGATGGTCTAACATCTTCATGATCTTAGCTTCCCTGTATAATCCTTGTAACAAACCAGGTTCAAGTTGAGTTTTATCGAAAATCTTGATAGCAACCTCCTCACCGGTGAGGACATGCTTGGCCAGCATGACCTCTGCAAATGCCCCCTTGCCGATGGTCTTCAATAATTTGTATTTACCAATGGTTAGTTCCTCTGCCTGCATCGAGTTGGTCACTGTAGTCATTTCCATTGCACAGCTATTTGTCCAATTTGTCCAATATTCTGTTATATGCAAATATTCCAAATTTATTTATCACTATGAGTAACGATGCGATGGATCAAACTGTTCCTTTATGATACCCCACTGAACAAATCTGAATGAAGTTTTTCTGCCGAAGGGTTGACTTAAATATGACTTGTATTACCTGAACAGGTACTTTTTCTACCTGCACAAATACCTGAGGTACTCTACCTGGACAAGTACCTCAGGTACTCGCTGTACCTATTGTGCACAACGTTACCAATTTCACCGATGCTACACAGATGCCTGTGTATATTGAAACATTTATGTTATAGGTTATGTTAACCTAATGAAATGAATACACAAGGAAGTACATGTTTTTGTAGTTTCATTTAGGTTTTGAGTTGTTGGTCCTACGAGCCGGATAATTTTAAAACCACGGAAAACGGACAATTATAACTAAGATTAGTTTCTCTGAAGCAATGTTTGGAACCTTTGGTTTAGTAATGAATAATATTGCAATTTTATACCAAAACCAAATCGTTATTTTTCAACACCTCAACACGTGTTTCAATCAAGTGATTATCTTCAAAAGTAAGCTTTGAATGAATTGAAAGGGTTATATTTTTAGGAGTGATTAATTTTTGGGAAAGAAAGTTTTTGGTTTTCTACTACTCCATCTGATACAAAAAAATGGATGAGAGAATCTTCCAAAGAAAGGAAGGAAGTAATCAATTTGATTACTTCCTTTGAGCAGCAGATGAACTTCAAAAATTAATGACGGCTGTTAAAGAAAAAGATGCTCATTTAGAAAAAGCCGAAAGGGAACATGAATATAAGGTAGAAGAGTTATTGGAGGAAATTAATAAATAAAAAAAAAGCAATAAGAAGAGAAACGAATTTATTCAAAAGCTATGGAGAACTTCAAAAGATTTCGAAGATGAAGTAGAAAATGCAGAACAAAACTATATGCGTGAATTGAAAGAACAAAAAGGAAAAATTGAGAAACTTGATCTCGTTGATCACGGAATATTACTGCGGAAGCTGAAACATCATGGTTTTGAGTACAGAAGCATTAGATGGTTTGAATCGTACTTATTGCATCGAAAGCAAATTGTAAGACTATCAACCCACTCAGATGTAGGAGAAATCAAAGCAGGTGTCCCTCAAGGTTCCATCCTAGGACCCATCTTGTTTCTATTGTATATTAATGATATAACACAACTGGATCTAACTGCTAGCATCACATTATTTGCAGACGACACAACGTTGCTGTGGCAGGGAGAAGATTCTACAAAACTAGCTCAAGATGCCACTGTAGACATGGAAAAAATTAAGAGCTGGTGCGACTCAAATAAGCTTTCTTTAAACTTTGATAAAACCCGTCTCCTCACCTTCAAATGGGAACTCCCACCTCTTAGAATAAATAACAACATTCTCGAGATGAAATTGCCCTCCAAATTCTTAGGACTTCACTTTGATAATAAGCTTGAATTTGAGGATCATATTATCAAGTTGAATAAAAAACTTGCATCTGGCTGCTTTGTAGTGAAGTCAGTTTCGAAGGAACTGGGTAGAACTCAGTTGACATTTTTTTATAGGATTCCATAGCTTTTTCTACACAGTAAACCAATTGAACAAGAAAATTTAATGGTCCACTGAATGTAGATGAGTTTAGCAAACATCACACAACAAAAAACATAAATTTATGTCTAATTTCAACAGTTTGAACTAAGATAATTCAAGCAACGACCGAGAGCACTGTCGAGCACTTCATTGTTGATATGGAAAAGAGATGAAAAACCTAACACAGAGATTTAAATGATTTATTCAATAAATTAAAACAACTAGTACAAAGTACTTCTCTTTTGAATATATTCGTCCCCGAACTCTCAAACGTGGGAAGCGTAATCGGGCTAATGCTAAGCAGATTCAACCAGCTACTCGTATTCTGCGGTTTACTTTCAGGCGAGGACGTAACGAACGAGCAACTTGTAGTGAAGCGTTAGGATACAATCGATTGACTGTAGGGCGCCGCGCCGCACGCTCGACTCTTTTCAAATGTTTTCGTGTGTACGTTGAGGTATCATGACCAGCACAAAGGTGGTGAATTAGGTGAATAAAACTTGAATAAACTATACTCGATTTTAATTTCCTAGGCGTCTGGTACCGCCCTCACCGATCTTGGGGGATTCGGAGGCCGCGGAGGATTTTGCTTTGCTGAAACAAAAAGAAAAAGATATAGAAATATGTTTATTTTTACAGATGTCAAGAATGTGATAAAATACATTTTATTGTACAAAGTGAGATACATTTAAAGTAACATACAAATTACAATTGAAATGAATCAAACAAGACAAAAGCACAGAACTCTAAACAAATTATGGTAAAATTATCTGAATGAAGGTAATCAAATTGTGTTCAGTAACAACCCAGATCAGCATTGAAAATACAATCACCGTATGCCACTGTCAACATTTCTAGTGTTTTTGAGCACTCAATTCCATCCTAATTAATAATAATAAAAATAATAATAAAGTTGGAATCTTGATCTTAAAATCATACCGGTTTGCCGCACTAAGGCATAAAGTGCATGTCACGCATTTCAGCGTTAGTAAAACTATTCATGATGGAATCATTGCCAATTGACAACTATGACTTTCACTGATATGACAATATTGTCACTGTCAGCTGGTCTCCAAAGCAAGTGTTTTATGATATGCAAAGTGGCAACAATTTTTTTCTCGAACACGAAGCCATATTATGAAGAGTGAGAATCAGAGTCAGGAATGCTTTATTGCCATAAAAGTTTAGGTTTTGTTGACAAAGCAGGCTTAAGAACTAAAACAATATGAAACATTAACATAAAAATCAAGAATTGAAACAAGATATTAATATGGTTCAAGCACACTTCAAAAAGTCTATGGTAGAAGTCTATGATAAAAAGTTGTATATATTGACAAAGCAGGCTTAAGAACTAAAACAACCAAAAACATTTAAATGAAGGTCAAGAATTAAAACAAGATATTAACATGGCTAAAGCACACTTCAAAAAGTCTATGATAGAAGTCTATGATAAAAATTTTTATATATTGACAAAGCAGGCTTAAAAACTAAAACAACCAAAAACATTAAAATGAAGGTCAAGAATTAAAACAAGATATTAATATGGATCAAGCACACTTCAAAAAGTCTATGGTAGAAGTCTATGATGAAAATTTTTATATATTGACAAAGCAGACTTAAGAACTAAAACAACCAAAAACATTTAAATGAAGGTCAAGAATTAAAACAACAAAATATTAACATGGCTCAAGCACACTTCAAAAAGTCTATGGTAGAAGTCTATGATAAAAATTTTTATATATTGATAAAGCAGGCTTAAGAACTAAAACAACCCAAAACATTAAAATAAAGGACAAGAATTTAAACAAAATATTAATATGGCTCAAGCTCATTTCAACAATTGCCTGATCCAAATTTTCATGTATACAATAAACTAATGTATCATCTGCAAAAAGATTTATACAGTGTGATCCAGATATGTGATTAATATCATTTAGGTAAATAATAAAAAGCAATGGACCTAACACACTACCCTGGGGTATGCCACTCTCAATTATAAGTTCATCTGACAATTCTTTTCCAAATTTAGTTTTNAGAGACCATTGTCTGAGAACCACTTTTGGGTTATTTTTATTTAATCAGATGCTTTATTAACTGTGGCTTTAATATTTTCCTGAGTTATCAATAAAGATGTGTCATCAGCATCATTTACATATATTATATATAAAAGTAGACCTAATATAGAACCCTGAGGAACCCCGAGGGAACAATTTTTAGATTCTGATTTATTTCTGCTAACCTCTACATGGTAGTATCTACCCTCTAAGTAACTTACAAACCATTGGTGGGTTATTTCCCTGATTCCATACATTTCAAGCTTTGTTAGGAGAGTTTTGTGATCTACCAGATCAAATGCTTTACTCAAGTCTATGAAAATCCCTAGCGTCTTTTTACCTTCATCCAATTCCCTGTACACATTGTTGAGGAATTGTGTAATCGCTTGACTTGTGGACAATCCCATTAAATAGACCCCATTTATTAAAAAAAGTTATCAATAGGCTGGAAACATATTTTTCATATACTTTTGAGAATGGGCTAATGAGGGAAATTGGTCTAAAATTTTGTATGTCAGTGTCATTTCCCTTCTTATGAATCGGCACAATTTTTGAAATCTTCAGACACTCAGGAAAAATCCCCCCCTGCATTTTTTCAGTATTTTCATACTCATTCCGTCGTCACCGGTGGAATTTGAGTGGCTTAGATTAATGACAATGTATATCATACCATGTGGCAGGTATGAAGTAGAGGAAATGAGCATTGATGTATTTAAGAGTTATTTCTGCAAAAGAATATTTGGAATGTCATTAAAGTAGTTGATGAAACAGTTAGATACCTCTGCAGGTTCAGTGAAGAGGTTATTCTGTACAATAAGTATTTTTTTTTGCTTTTTTTTATCATTATTAAATCTCAGAATATTCCAAGCAGTGACAGATTTATTTTTAGTGTTCGAGGTTATTCTGTACAATAAGTATTTTTTTTTCTTTTTTACTTTATTTTATCATTATTAGATCTCAGAATATTCCAACTAGTGACAGATTTATTTTTAGCATTCGCTAATGAATTGAAGTTATGAAGCTTTTTTGCCTCATTTAGTA